TCTCTCTTCGAACAGGGGGATGCGAGGTAACGCGTTGACCTGACGATCTTTTAGAAATGTAACGAGGAAATTGACATTGGCAATTTGTCGAAGAGATTGGAAAAAAAGATGTTGCGTACTCTTGTCTCTTAGTCGGTCCTTCCTTTTATCGTCCAACTTATTATAATCAAAAGAAACAAATGTTTCTTCGAAATAATATATATATATATATACGTATATGTTAATAAATGTAAACGAGATTACTTATTTAGAGGGATAAATATAAAAGTAAAAATTTTTGATTTTTCGTCGAATAAAAAATTCTTAACGTCGATTTAAAAAAAAAAACAAGAGTTAAAATTTGTAAGAAAAAAATTGAATCAAAAGGATAAAATCGTTAAAAGAAAAACATCTAAATATAAAAATACACGCATCGAGTAAAAATTTTCGAGCCACGATAATTAAAAATAAAATTCGGAAATTAAACGCATGCTCGTGTAACAAGCTCAAAAGCCATGCCAACGTGGACATAATTTACGCTATTACCTACTTACCATATAATTAACTAATTACAACTAATTACAACAACAACGAAGTGAAACCGAAAGAACTCCCAAGTTCTAAAAAAAAAACAAAAAAAATACTATACATATTTCTCAACAATTTTAAACATCGAACTTAATCTGCTTCTTTCGTTGTCACTTCAAACACCGATAGAGACTACTTCTAAAAAAAAAAGAAGTAAAAAATGAAGGAGATAAACTACGAAAATGGATAAATAATAACGTAGAGAGATACCTTTGACAGAGATCTCTTGCGAAAGAAACGCGAAATACGAACTCTCTTCCACGCACGTTACAAATACTTTGGAAAAAGAAGATAAAAAAAAGAATAATTTTCGCGCGAAAATTTAAACTTGGCTCGCGTAATTCGAACCAAGGGGAATAAATCCGGAATTGGAAGCGCGATCCGCGAGGTAAGGAAGAGACGTAACACGAAATGGAAAGATACAAAGAGAGACAAAGACAGAGAGAGAAAAGAGAAAGAGTGAAACAACGATAGACCTACGTGCTATTCGACATGTACATAGTAGTAGCCTCTAGCAAGCCCTTGAAGCCCCCCTTGCTCAACGGCGATCGTTGGTTCGCGTTTGATTGGCAGGGGCCCCGCGCGTACGTAGCCTAAATGTAGGCGGTGGTGTAGGTAGCGCGTGAAGGTGCTGTCAGGACTCTGGAGGTCAGGATTCCCGTCGAGCAGAGATCTTTCGGCACGAAGGAGCCACCACCGACTACGGTCACTTCCGGGATCTCGGTGATGGCTCGGCTCGTTTCGTCGTCGTCGACGTCGTCGTCGCCGCCATCGAGAAGACGATTCCGGTCTTCGTCCTTGCTCACCCTTCTCCTCGCGTCTCTCCCCCCCATCTCGCTCCTCTCCGCCACCTTGTCCGCCTCGCTCAACGATCTCCTCGACACCAAGCTACCCCTCTTCTTCCTTCCCGACTTCTTCGATCCCGCTCGCTGGTGATACTGCTGCTGCTGATGATGATGCTGCTGCTGCTGCTGCTGCTGCTGCTGATGATGATGACGATTACCACGCCCCGATTCCTCCTCTCTCCTCGTCGCTTTCGCTCTCTTCTCCGCGATCCATCTGCCGTTCGTCTCCGGATTCTTCTTCTTCGTGGCCATCGCCTCGTCGTCCTCTTCGTCTTCGTTTCCTTTCGTCGTGTTCTCTTCCTCGACGATCCTCGTATCCTCCTCCTCCTCCTCCTCCTCCTCATTCTCCTTCTCCTTCTCGACTCGATCGATTCCTTGCTTGAAGCTCCCTCCCAACGAGGCAACTTCTGCAACGCTACAACTGCTATTAGTCTCTTGAAAAGCTGTGGTATCATCACCGATGGCCGTTATCAAGAGTGATCGATCGTCGCTGGTGGAAAGCTCAGGGCCCTGATCGTCGAACGGGCAAGAGGAGGTGGTTGCTACGACGGTGGTTGTGGTGGTGGTGGTGGTAGTG